GAGTATTGAGCAAAGACAACTGTTAATGAAGGTCTGTAGTTTGTTTGAGGTGCTCTTTATGACGTGCCAAGTCTCTGATCCGTATAGTAGCACTGACTGACTTCACATTGGAGTTGAAAATCCGGATCTTATTTTTCATGCTGAGTAGTTCTGTTGACCTCCACACAGACTTGAGATAATGAAAGCTTGTCTTGCTTTTCCGATTCTTGCTTTGATATCCTCGTCAGTTCCGCCTGTAGTTGGAACGATGCTTCCCAGGTCGGTAGGTAAAAGAGGTTGTTTCTTTCAGGTTCCTCCCATTTATGCTGATTGTTGTCTGTTGTTGTTGCTGTTGTTGGTGTTGCCCAGGTATCTTCATCACCTCTGTTTTCTATGTGTTCACCTGAAGTCCTATCTTTGACGCTTCTTCTGCCAATTTGTTGCTTTTCGCCTGCATATATTCGAGTTTGTGGGAAATCAGATATATATCATCGGCGAAGTCCAGATCCTCCAGGTTTTTTGTGTGAGTCCATTTTATGCCTTTTTCCTCATTGCCCGCTGTTTGTCGCATTATCCAGTTTACTGCAATCAGGATATGATTCAATCTAAAGTGAAATAGCAATCAGATTCTTTTGAAATTCTTATCTGAAATCATAAATGGCTCAGACATGAAGCTATATAGCACATTTTGTTTTGAGAAAAATTAGACTGGTGGACTGGATTATGCGTAAGACTGTTGGGGCGAGGAGTCAGAAATATGCTGGACCACCAATCAAAAGACTCTAGAAGATATGGATTTCGCAGATGATATATGTCTAATGTCACGCAAACTTGAAGACTTACAAGCGAAAACCAACAACCTGACTGAAGAGGCTGACAGCAAAGAAAGGACTTCAGGTGAACATAGAGAAGACGGAGGTGATGAAAATAACCCACCAACCAACAGCAGCAGCAACAAAAACCAGCACCAATCACCATCAGCGGGAGAGATTTGATAGAGGTTACCTCCTTCACTTATCCCGACAGGAAGCATCGTTTCAACTGCAGGCAGTCGGAACGGATGAAGATGTCACAGCAGGCTGGCCAGAATCGGAAAGGTAAGGTACACCCTCATCAACCTGAAACCAGTTTGGAAATCTTCTACACTGCACTCAGCATAAGGAACAAGGTTCGCATTTTCAATACAAATGTCAAGTCGGTCAGTGCTTCTATATGGGTGAGGAACTTGCACTGCGCTCGTGTCACGAAGATGATTCCCAACAGCCAGTTGCAGACTTTCATGAACTGCTGCCTTCGCTGGCTGGCTCCATACTGAAGATGAAACGGCCAGCCAGAAAGAATAAGTAACGAAGAGCCGATCGGTCAACAAATATAGAGGAAAAAATGGAGATGGGTCGAGTATACATCGAGGAGGCCATGGAATGACATCGCGCGCAATGCAGGCCATTGCTCGAGTGGAGTCCAAATGGGCAGCGACGAGTGGGTCGTTGGTGTGAGGGTGACATGGGAGAAATTGTGTGAGGAAGATATAAGAGAATTCGGTCAATCGTGAACCCACCTGAAGAGGACGACAGAAGATAGAACAAAGTTGAGATGTGTTGTTGAAGCCCACTCGGAACGCAGGGGAATAATAATAATAATATAGGAATGACCCGCACAGATAAATATTTTGTTTCGCTGGTATGCATGCATGTACTTCATAGTGCAAGAATCGACTTGTCTTGGAAATCAATTTCAGGTTTACTCCGACAGTAAAACAAGTGAAATTTTATTATTATTACTGTGATTGCATATCGACTAGTTTTTATTACACTTCAGTATGGTTGTAAACAAGTTATCAGTATAGCTGGCAGAGGGAAATGAAGACATAAGATTTACACACACGCACACACACACGCACACACTTATGCAAACATCCATAGAGATACAATTACAAATAACAATAAATTATTAGTGAATAATACAATAAAAATCTAAAGTAATTAAGTCATTGGAAGAAGGAAAACAAATAAGATGGGAAACACAGTGAAGTAACTGATAAATCACGTTTAAAGTGTGATGGGCGCATATGTGCGCCCCTTATGAGTGTGTGTGTGTGTGCGTACGTGCATGTGTGTGTGTGTGTGAGTGGCAAGTGAACCCATCTGTTATTATTATGGCGCCCATTAATTTATGCATTATACAATAATGTATATATCATTGTATAGACAAGGATCTTATGTTACTCATCATGTTGAACATTGAATATATGAATAAATCTTTCTCATTCTGTTAGAACTCTGCACCTTTTCTTTCCATTTTTATCATTTAATTGAAATCCAATACAGTCCCATTTATATTCAAGTATTGGTTTGTGGGAATTCAATTGATTGGTTACAGGATCTCATCATGAGCTGACATCGTTTAGAGAGCCAATGGAAAACCAGCCTGGGAGTACTTCACAGCTGTTTCGTTCTAGTTTGTGCCTCTCCATCAGGATTTGAACCCAAGATTTCTGGTTACAAGACGAGGTGATGAACCATTAAGCCACTGGGACCCGATACAAAGGCCAGCCATGAATTCTAACTTCTGCCAATTCACGACATAGCGTGACCACTAGCCAATGTCTTCGGCGAGTATTTGTCCTCACTCCCATGCTATGTCATGAATTGGTAGAAGTTGGAATTAATGAACTGGCCACTGAGTCGAGTTCCAGCAGCTTAATGGTCTACGAGCCTGTCTTGCAATTGGGAGGTCTTGAACTCAAACTCTGGTGGTGGGTAAGTACTGATGAAGAGTCCCATACGAGAACGAAACAGCCGTCCAGTACTAGCTGTTGGTTCTCGAATGATTCTCTAACTGGTGTCACCGCATGATGAAGTTCTGTAACGAGTTCCATTTATATTTGTTTAAATGTTTTATACATGATTATAGCGGAAGCAACGAATTTCGTTGACATAGCTGACAGAAGACTGCCTACTATCATTGATGGTACTCTTTATTAGCGTTGAGCAGCATCACAACACAGATCTTAAAGTTTGAAAAGGACAGGCATATATTAGGATGAAAAGAAGACTATAAGAGCTCTGGATTCCAAAGATGACTTATGTTTAATATCACACAAACTTAAAGATCTACAGGCGGAAATCCACAAATTGTCAGAAAAGGCAGGCAGCGAAGACAGGACTTCAGCTGAATACACCAACAATAAGCACTAGTCGCTACTGAAGTGTAAAGGAAGTCACCTCTTCCACTTATTTGAGGGACATTGCCTGAAATACAAGTTGTACGAACGAGAATGTCGAAACCAGCATCAGAAAAACCAAGATCGACCTTCCTTACCGTCAAATCATTGTGGGGATCTGTTACAATCAACATAAGGAACTAGATTAGTATGATTCAACTCTAATGACAAGTCAGTTCTCCTATATGATTTAGAGACTTGGTGCATGCATCACCACAGGCATTTCCTACAGGTTGCCTCAGATTTTCGTCAACAGCTACCTCCGGTGAATACTAAAGATCAGATGGCCAGATACGATGAGCAGTAAGAAACTTTGACAGAGAAACAACCAATAACTTATCACCCAACAAATATACTCAAGGGAATTGGGATGAACTGGACTTACTCTAAGGAGGAATTACTTTGAAATCACACGCAAGACCCGAATGGAAAACGATGGGTTAGGCGTCCGAATGTGACAAAAGAAAGATCATGTGAAGAGAAAGGGAAAGCGCGTGAGTGGTGGAAAAGATAAATACGTGCAAAATGTGTACATATGTGGTAGATGGCATGAAATGTGTTTATTGTTGGAAGTTAAAGACGCCGAGTCAGAAGGGATTATTATATATGGATATTGTACTTGCAGGCCCTCATCATCTGGAAGTATATAGAGTCATTATGGAAATTATATTTCCTCCTAAAAATCCGACCTCCAATACCCGATTGTCTGATGTAGTAGTGAACTTCGCGTTAAGTTATTCGAATCACGAATAATTCAGTGCTTGGCACTGGTATAGACTGCAGTAACTGTGCTCACTTGTTCAGTCCTAAGCACATTCAGATTTCAGATTTATTGGTTGAGGATAGAAGGCTTGGAGCCTACTGGTTGAAACCTGTCACCCAAATGAAAAATGTCACTGGCATAGTGCTCTAGATAAATAATATTAAACAAGAGTCATTTTATACCTACTTCTTAAGGAAGTGCACTGGATGGTTTACAGTTATGAAACTTTCCGAAACTTTCATTGCACAGGAAGCTACATAAGATGACTGTAGGGACGATAACAACCAAGGGATTGATATTCAAGTATTGGTTTGTAGGGATTTGGGTGGTTGTTTACAGGATTTCATCATGAGATGACATCAGTTAGAGAATCACCGGACATCTGTTTTGTTCTAGTTAGGGACTCTTCATCGGCATGCACCCATCACCAGAGTTTGAATTCAGGACCTTCTAGTTGCAAGCCACTGAAACTTGACTGATTAGTCAGTCCATGATTTCAGACTGCTGAAAATTCACGACAAAGCGCGACCACCAGCAGATGTTTGAACTAAAGCTAACTCACGATAACATACCGAGACCTTTCATATAAATGATAACATTCGGGAAGTCGTACTCAAAAGTATGCGAAATCTAGAAATAACTAACAATTCAGCAATGCTATACATTGAGAATCGACAGAAGTCAATGAGTTAACCGTGTGACATGAAGGTTCTAGGTTCGAGCCTTGATGGGGACATGGTGGAGTAGTAGTGAAGACTTTCAAACCCAGACAGTGGTCCCTAGTATGCAGTGGCTGTCTAACTGAAGTGAGTTCTTGAACAAACTTGATATTCATAATGTGTTCTCCAAAATATCACTCAAAATGGAAGTTGGAAGATGCTCAGCAAGAAATCAACTGTATGATCAGTAAACGTTGTTTAGTGTAAGCTCCACATACTGTAATACATCCTCAGGAAACTACCTACTGTTTAGCTTACTTTTTGACTGGTAGAGGTGAAGTACTTGTCATCTTTTTGCCTTTATTTCTTATTTTAGATTCATGATATCCCCTGTCAGTCATCGTGTCTATCTCTCCTGTCTGTTTGCGGACAACTACGTAATTATCCTCCTCCAAATTTTAAAAATATTCCATCCGGTTGTCCAATGAGAATGGGAAGTGCAGGTCCAAGATCACAGAAACGATGGTTGCAGGAAGGTGATCAATATTCCAGGACGCCACCATTGTCCTATCCTTCTGAAACATACAACACATTTAGTAATTTACCAAATCCAAGAAGATATGTCAGATATCCTGGTTATCCAGCGTACTTGTCTTCTAGATCACCGTCAGTAGATAATCACTACAAATATCAGAAACAATATAATGCTCAATCAGAAATGATCCCGAATACTTACCCATGGATTTATCGACGTCATCGAAGAGAAATGACCAGTAGTTCTGATGAATATCAAGTTGATAATTCAAAGACACCTGTCGGCCACCCAGATCAATATATTTCGATGAAAACACAGTTGCATTTCTCGCCAAGTTATCATAATCAAAGAAGTTTACCACTTACTGAAGAGGATTGTTTATTTCTACCACCGGGTGGCTGTGATAAATGGATTGACCAGTCAACTAATATACAACGATTAGAAGCGCCCACTTTCAGAGAATATTTAAAAAGTAAGTTAATATGTGTGTGTATGCATTTTGATGAAATTTTTTCAACCTACAATAATTAGTTATTATGTTAACTAGTTTTGAAAATTCTCATTTTTTTATATCAAATATAAATTTATGGAGTTATTATTTATTTATTATTCCCTTTGGTTCCGAGTGGAACATAGGGTTTCAATAGAACATTTCCCTTCTGTCCTGCTCTCCAAGGTCCTCTTCAGCTGGCCCCAGGATTGCCCTTAGTCTATCATCTCTTTTTCAAACGAGCTCCTCAGTGTCACCCTCAGACCCACGCCCAACTCACTGTTTCCTATTCGAGTATGGCATGGCGCGCGTTGTTACCTGACGGTCTCTCCAGAGTGTGCCCAATCCGTCTCCACTTTCTGTGGCATATTTGTCGGGCACTAGGTCGTTTATTGGTTTATTCTCAGAGTTTCTTGCTGCTAATTCTTTCTGAAAAGGTGGCTATCTGATCTTTAATATGGAGCCAGAGAAGGCGGCAGCTGTCGATGAAAGTCTTCTTTGAACTGTTCGAAATGAATTTCATAACACGCCAGGTTTCATAACATAAAGAAGTTACGATATAACAAGTGCGGTGGGTAATATTATCATTATTGTTTCCTTTAATTCCTAGAGGAACATAGGGCTTCAACCACGCATCTCCATTGCGTTCGGTTCTCTGCCAACGTCTTCACCTGGTTCCATGTCTGCCCACACGTTTTCATCTCCTCTTCACATTACCTCCTCCAAGTCGCCATCGCACTGACGACCAACTCGTCGCTTCCCTTTCGGCTTCCACTCGAGCTATGGCTTGTCTCGTGATGTCACTTGATGGATTGTTTCCTCAGAGTATGGCCAATCTATCTCCATTTCTTCCTGCCAATTTGTTTCACAATCGGGTAATATTAACTCTGATGAATGAATCAGAAGTAATAATCAGAATTGTTACTAACCTTACATAAGAAATCTAGACTTTGTTTATTCTGAATTAAGAAAAAAACCTACTAACCTGGTAAAGGATTTCATCATGAACTGACATCGGGGAGTACTGGACAGCTGTTTCCTCCGTCCTATTTAAGGACTCTTCATCACTGCGCACCAACTAGGCTTCGAATCCAGGAATCCAGGGCATTTTGGTTACAAGGCCAGCTCGTAAACCATTCAGCCACTGGGATCCAATCCAAAGGTACATGAATTCCAAATTCTGCTAATTTATGATGTAGCGCGACCACTAGGTAATGTCATCGGCGAATATTTGTCTTCACTCCCAATCTGCTGCGCACCACTGGTCACGACTTCCCACTAGAACCCCAGGTAGCTACTTACCTGAATAGGACCAGTCACTAGTGATCACCAGATTGAATTGGCAGAAGTTGGAATTCATGGATTGGCCACTATAGCGGGTCCCACAGGTTGAATGGTCTACGAGCTTGTCTCGTAACCGGAAGGTCTTGGGTTTGAAAATCAGTTGGTGTGTACTGCTGAAGAATCTCGAGCCAGGACGGAGGAGACAGATATCCAGTACTCCCAGTTGGCTTTCCAACAGTCCTCTAACCGATGTGAGTTCGTGATGAAATCCTGAAACCAATCAAATTCTTGCAAACCAACATTTGAATGACTTGGTAAAGTTAAACTTTAAACAAACAGCAGGCGCTAAGGTACCAGTTGCTTGGAACGTTCAGTCACAGAAAGCCAGTGGAACCAGGCAAATAACATCATATTCATAAAAAGAAATGCTGAGTAAATTGTACTGATATCAAATGCAATATCTGGTTAGTTTAAGGTCGAGTTAAGGAAAGATTAAACTCAGGTTAAGGCTGGAGACAGATTAAGGTTACGTAAGACGTACATTAGGATATAAGCTATTCTATGAATGGATTAATGTTAGGTTAAGGAGAGATTAGGATCATAGTTGAGTTAGGAACATAAATTCGCCCTCTAGCGCAATCGCTGGTTTACGCAGCATTAGTGCATCTGTGTCTAAATTCAAACTTTGCCAGTAGCTCCCACCACTGAATCACTAATACTGAGTTTCTATTCCTCTCCCACCCGATGGGCGAAATAGTAACCCAAAAAATCGATAAAAGAATGAAGAGAACCATAAAAAGTCGTTTTTATGTGGCTAAACTTGTACTGGTGTATAACAATATATCCTCAAGAAGCCGAGAGAAACTTGATTATCACCCTGTTGATTTCACTTCCCATTATCAAAAATCGATTTGTAGGGATTTGATTTGTTTTTCAAGTTTGATCACGGATTGATATATGTTAGAGGGACACTGAAAACCGCCAGGGAGTACTGCACAGCTGGTTACTCTATCCTAGTTTGGGACTCATCGGCAATACGCACTCACCTACACGGTTCGAACCCAGAATCTTACGGTGACAAGTCAAGCTCGTAGACCATTCAAACAGTGGGACCCAACTCGTCAATGGCCAGCCCATGAATTCTAACTTCTGGCAATTCGTCACCACCAGCCGATGAGTCCAAAACTAGTATGGAGGAAACAGCTGCCCAGTACTCCCTGGTTTTCAGTGGTTCTCTTACCGATAACAATCCATAGTCCAAGTTAAAAAAAAATCAACCCTTGAAAATTAATCCGATGCTCGTTGGTGACTGGCTGCAGGACGTAGTTGACTGGAGTACTAGTGAGAAGCTTTGAGCAGTGGGGTCCACTAAGTCGCTCGGGAGTGAGGGCAAATACTCGCCACGGATGGAAATGGCCGCTACCTGTCACGTTAGAATCACGAATGTATAGAAATCAGGATTTATAGGCTGTTCATCGATAAGTCGAGTCCTAGTGTCTGAATGGTATGTGAGCTTAACTTGTAACCGGAAGTTCCCGGCTTTGAACTCCGGTGTTTGGTGAGTACTGCCTATAAGTCCTAAGCAAGGAAGCCACAGCCGTCAAGTACTTTTTTGTGGTTTTCAATGATTCTCTTTCTGATATCAGAAATTCGTGATCACACTAGAAAAACTTCCTGTTATGTTTACAAAACTTACATGTAATTGTGGTTACAGATATATCAGAAGAACAGAAAGGCTTCTATTCAGTTTGAAAACTTCAGTTTCTTTTAATTCAACTTTCACGGCTGAGTTGTTTATTTATGCTTGTCATTATCTCTAAGAATAGAATTCGTTGGAATGAATAGTTTGAAGTGTTTAATTGCAAATTTGAGCGGTGATCTGCAAAGTTATATCGTTTCTTTTGACAATGTCCAGTTGTGAGAACTGTGGTGTACATTTTGCTCCTTCAAAAGATGAGTATATGTCACCCGTTTGATTTATGGGTAAACGCAAGTCTTAGAGTCGAACAGAGTGGTGATTTAGTAATTGTGACGCTCTGTGCTGCGTCTCAATCAGATTAACAACACTAGACATGCATAACTAGTTAGGAATGTATACACTGATAGATAGCGATTAGTAAAAAGGATGAAACGGAATTATTAAAACTTATTCCTTACTCCTTGTTTAATTTCACTGGAGCTAAACACTCAATCCCTGCTAGTGTATATTAGCCCCTAGAATAGGTGCTTTCGATTATGTCTTCAGAACTACTTGATTTCATTTGAGTGTTGGTAGCTATTAGTGGGGTTTCAGATGCCTGTCATGCCCGGTTTACGATTTGATAGCTGGATGTACATGAATCCAAGTGGGTGACAGTGTTCTAACTGAGAATGGAATAATACAAATCTTTCTCTAGAGGTGGTTACCTTAGATCACTAGTCCATTAGGGGGTAATTCTGGTACCTGAAGCGATGAGTGCTGGGCTTGATTTGGAGTAGGAAAACCATCACTCACTATGGTGCAGGTACATGAGAGTGACGAATCCTCGGTGGGGCGAGACGTGCCTCCTAGGTTTGAGTGCTAGCCATCCTGTATTGGATAATACCAAAATGAAACATACACCATACATATAATATCACTGTGTGCCTCGAAATGCTCTGTTAATTGTTACACATTTACTAAACTTGACAAAACGCCTCACAAGTTAGTTAGTGTTGTATTAAACAGAAGAAAAGAAAAAAGAATGATTTTAAGCCATGTTGCCAATGGTCTGAAGCCATTTCAAGAACCTTAGTCGGGTAGTCTTCTCCCAAAACCAGCATTCAGAGATTTCATGGATTAATGCCATTTTTCTGCTGTTTTTTTCATTCATTAGCGTTCCTTGTATAACATACAGCTTCAAGCTTTATTTCTGAAGCTTCAGTAGCGGTCGTGTTGATCTTTTTTACCAAGTAGAGTCGCCAGCTTTACGTTCAACACTCCCTCCTTATCAGGTTTGGGAGTGTGCCAATTGGGAATTTAACCTGGACTCCAGGCGTTACTGACAAGCATTCTACGATTGAACCACTGACTCGCATGTTTTTGTGTGACCATGTTTAACTCTTTTCCAATGAGATTCGATGTCAGCTAACATTGTTAGACTACATAATAGGTTATGTATTGCAAAATGTTTGGCTTTCACCAGCTGAATTGAGGCGGTAGAGTGTACGAACTAGTAAGTATGAGTCTGTTGTTCTGAATGTTACTGTGATCCGATTTTTCATCCTGGCTTCAGTCATCACGTATAGGTAAATTCTGATCTACGGTGGAATTTATATCACTAATCATCCAATTATCAGCTGGGCGTGTTAGAGAATGAGCCGAAAGGGTAGTCAATAACTGACCTAATCTTGATGTCATTTCAGCCATATCAGATGATGTTCTGAGTCTGTAATTTGAATGATTCTTGAGTATCTAGACCTTCAAAATCATCAAATAGATTAATGCAGACACATTTTTTATTCCGATTCTGACTATTTACTATATACGGTTGCATCTCTGTAAGACACAAATGTTACCTAGTGAAGGGAAGTGTCCAGGATACTTTTGTTAGTTGCAGTACATTACATCTTTCTTCAAATCATCTAAATTTATTAGATTTCGTCGAAACATGCTCAACTGAGTCAAACCAACCAGCAAGAAGGACCATTCCAACGTCACTTATCATCATCTGTTACTA